AAAATCAAACAAGTACCAAAAAATCAGTAGCGACATAAAATCAAAATTTTAAAAATCAAAGCAAGTACTAGGCAAGACTGCTGATGAGGGGTCTATTAAACATGAGAATCTGATACGGGTTCCTGCTTAAAAAAGCGCGGGGTAGGGGGGGAGTGCAGCCCCCACCCCCCACGGCAAATCGTTGAGGACTGTGGCAGTGGCAGTGGCTGATGGGGATTCCCTACTAGATAGACATGAAGGAGGCTTGGGCGGCAGGCCCCCCATTGGCAAACAGCATCAGACATGATACAGGTTCATGTGTAAAAAAGCAGGGGAGTTGCGTGGGGCGCAGTCCCCCATTTTGCAAAACTCTGAAATATGGCAAGTGTTGGGGAGCAATCACCATTAGACGTGATACGTGTTCATGTATTGATGGAAAAGGATGAACATGATGAAAGATGACGAAGCAATACCAAGCATAAAGAACTTCAAATTGTACATATGATGAAACTGATATTGACAACACATGATGACCATCAAGAAAAGTCGCGGAATACGATGACAAAATGATGGGATGTAATGATGAACCGGTTATGAGAAGTGAAACATGATGAACATGAAATATGATCAAACATGGTGAGAACCAGGAAACATGCTGAAACATGATGAAAGATGATCGAGAACGATGAGAAGCTATGACGATGATGGAAATGCTGAACATGATGAATGGTTCAAATGCTTAACATGATGGACAATGAATCGTGAAAAGAGACTAGGAAATGTCAAACTGTAATGGAAGTATGATGAACAATTCTGGAAATTACGGTCAAGGATCAAACATGACGACCTTACTTGGAGGTTTTACCCCGTCGGGGCCATTGGCAGCAGGCTTTTTAACCCGCGGGGGTCACAGGTAGAGGGTGTCTCTTGGGCAACGGATCTCTACCCGGCCCGGGTTGCGGGTAGCTGGCTTTGCCCCCCCAAGTCGTGAGCAGCAGGTGTTTTCCCCTGCCGGGGTCAGGTGCAGGCGGTTAAGGGTCACTCCATTTTTACGTTGAGCCCCATGGCAGGCAGGGACTCTTAGATCTGTGGACCTGATTGTAGCGTTCAGTTGTACCGGCCGCCGCCTGGCTCGGGCGGCCAGTGGTTTAGAGTTAAGGCCTTAAGCCCCATAGCTTGCCTTTCGTCCTTTCCTCCGTCCTTCTTTGCTTTTTCATTCTTCCTTTCCTCCTTTCTACATTGGGTTGTCCTTTCTTGGTTTGTGTTTCTGGCGGGATGGAGGTATCTAGTAGAATGCGTTCATCTTTTATGATCCCTATGGGATTTGCTATTGACCCTCAGCTGTTTTTTCTTGATTCCTGCTTGATTGTTCTGATCCACATCTTGCTAATGAGAGCAGTTGGGAGCTTTGACCTTAGTGCGCCTGAAGAGCTGAGGTATCGAGGTCTGCGATGTAAGGTTTCGGACTCCAGCGGCCCCAAGACTGGAACGAAGGGCTGTGATGCATTTGACTGCACAAGTGTCTGCTCATCCACACCAGACCAAACATGCCAATCATGGGAACCTAGCTTCAAACCCAGCCTAGTTGTCGCCACCCTTGCCCCATGGCTCTTCAACGGGCACTGGCCTTGGATGAGATGTAGGGTCTACTCAATGGCGTGTCAAGATGGGCCATGCCCTTCTGAGACAAATCTGTGGGATGGTTGACAGCCCACGGGCCCCGTCGGGCACATGACTAAGTCAAGATTGAATTGCCCCGGTCTCTGATTCCCACGAACGCAGAATCTGATGGACAGGGAAAGGCCTGGCAAGAACACAGCAAGCAAGTTGATTCAAACCTGCTTCAGCACAAGTTCAAATACAAATGGACATCGAGTCTATGGAAGAAGTGCAGCTGACACTGAGAGTGCGGCAGGGGGAGATATGCTGGAATGTCTGGCACGCCCTGGCAGGAGTGACAAGCTACTGCGTGAGCAGTCTTGTATTTGTGTGCGCATCCCGTCCATGCAACGTGGAGACAAAAGCGCAAGCCATCCTTAGACTTTGCTGGGCATTAGGAAACAGGGATTACGAAGTGCAACCCTGCAATCTGGAATTGCGTCGGGCGTCCGTAGCAAAGTCGTCCTCAGGTACAAAATTTGTGCTACCTGTGCGAATGGTTTAGCCGGACTGCCGGGAAGACTTGAACTCCCAACCTCACCACGGGCTGTCAGATGCCACATGGCGCGTCATGCATTTTTTTAGCTCCCTTCTCCACTGCTCAACCCACCAAATACCGACATGCAAAGATGCGCCCAGCACAAACACCATGGATCCCGACTGGGGGCTCGCAGCAGAACTTGCCCAGCAATGGCCTCAGCTTCGGCTACCCTTTCAGCAGTTGACCAGCAACCCGCCCAAAAATGAAGCGATCATGCACAAGCTGCTATGTTGGATTCGTATGGCTCAGTCCTCATTTGAGCTGCTGTAATGCTAGCGGCGGTTTATGCGGGTTGGCAATTGATGTATTTTCGGGGCCCAGAGCTGCCTGCTTTTCCATTGCGGAAAGAATTTCCACCCAAGACCTCAGAAAACTCTACATAAGAGCTGGGTAGCGATAAGATGCAATAAGATGCTCTAAGGCTATAGGCTATGATAATTCCACAGCTCGCGGAGTTATAAACCAAGCACAGTGTGGCAGTTCATTCCCGATTAATGCTCCAGCACCAGCATCGATGTGCCAATCTTTCTTCAGTCATGAAAACTCCTAAGGAAAAGGACTTAGGCATCCCCGCATCTCGCAGCACTGAAGCGGGAAGTTCGCCTTGCCATCGTTGCACTCGAAATCATCCTGGCCCAGTTTTGGGGGCCTAGCACACAACAACTAATCTTATGTGGACCCTCGTCAGAATTGAGAACGCTTGTAGCGTAACCGTTTGTCAATATCCTCTTGCGCTTCTGGTGCTTGATACTTTGCGGAACCCCATCTCGTCAGAGTCTCGTGTTCTCCTCGGATCTCCACACTTCCCGCTAGGCCTTCTTGGCTTCTGCTAACGCTTGGGGCGTTAGAGGTGCTAAGAAGCATGCTTTGCCATGCTCACATCCCAAAGGATTCCACCCACAACTGGGTCACGCCTCGCAGCCTTGTGGCCTCGGGATGTGAATTGCCGAATACTTCAAGGTGGTTCGATTCCTACTCCATTTTACCTGGGAGAAACACGAAGTTCCCTCCCCTCTCTGGATGCGTTCAGTCAACAAGTGCTGGAAGATCTGGGAGCAGGGCAGGCCAGGCAGCCAGCCACCTGTCTACTGCCGAAGTCCCTTAACCGCCGATGCGCCCGACTGTGCTATTGAAATCGTCAGGATCTAAAAGCCGCGCTTTAGACTTGCAGGCTTCTAGTGAGGGCCTTTTTCCGCATGAAGCTCCTGTATCTGTTTGCAGCCTTTGTGCATTGGCAGAGCTTGTCCCAGCGAACTGCTGACGGTGCGGCCCGTAAGTAGACATGTCCGAGCTACCTATGCCAGCAGATTCCCGTGTCTGACATCATGCTCATAGCATTCTTAGCATTCACCGCAGTCAGGCAAGCTGGAGCGCATAGACGTCAAGCATGTGCGACAGGCTCAGTTCGAGACTGTCAAGTATTTCCGAGAGCTCTCACCACCCCTCCTGTACAGTAGAGGTAACTTGTCGTCTAACGGGTATCATCGTACAAGCCTCCATGAACAGCGCAAAGATCGCATGTAGCAGGAGCCACTCGGTAGTTTGACTCTAGCGCCCCCCGTCAGTCCGTCGGCGCAATCTGTGGGTCTGGAGCATTTTGGAAGTCATTTTGGACGTTGCGCTATTAAGTGGACTGTTCAGCTCGACACAAATCGCCCGGAACCACAAAGTGCCAAGCAGCTTGGAGGTCATGCCAGCCCTGCCGAGTTGGGTTGGGAAGCCCTCTCTTTCTGAAGGTTCCAGGATTGGTGACCCAGCGCTGAGGCAGCCCGCAAGCTGCTTTTCTCGTCAATCGAGCATGTGGGGACTCAGCTCTGCAAGCTTTTTTCTAACTTGATGCAAGAAGATGTTCCATTGAGCTGAGAAACATACGGCTAGTGTTCAGAGGGCCACTCACCCCATTCGATGCTCAATCCCCAAGGTAAAAAACATTTCAAATGAGCCCTCCTGCAAGGACGGCTGGTCATCAAGACCATGATGCCTGTCCTGTTTGGAGTCTGCTACAGTGCTACAGACCTTCCTTTCAGGCAGACTGTGCCAACATCACGTGTCTGAGTCCAAGGTTTACCAGGTATGTCAACTAGATGGCGATGCGGACTGATGCGGAACAGCACCTGGCAGGATGGTCATGTCACTTGGCACGTTGACAAACCACAGTTCGCAGCATCATCCTCAGGACGCCCCCGGCTCAGCATCAAGTGCAGGCGCGGCCAGGCAGTGCTGTTCCATTCACACTCCTCCGCCTTGCGTCGCCTTGCACCGCGGGTGAGTACTTAGGACTCAAACGGCGCAGCCAGGCGGCCAGGCAGTGCACTTCAGGTCCCAAGTTCTGCCTTGTTACAGTCAGGGAGCTCCCGAACACCCTCAATTCTACCTGACTTTATTGGAGGCGTGGTGAGTCTTTTGGATTCAGCTGGAAGCCAGGCATGAATTCAATTCTTCAGCCATCCGGCGAGCACTTGCATCTGGCAAGGAAGCTATGAAAAGATACCGTAACTTGCAGGTGGCGGCTTGGGCTGCAAGTGGGCGCTGACACCCCATAGAAGATTATATGAATGCCTAGAACATCCTGGCCAGGCTGGCTCTCATGCCGAGCTGAAACAAAAGCGATGTACCGTCACTTGCGGGCTACGAAGCGTCACCATGCACTGAGAGTATCTTATCCTTGCACAATAAAGAGAAACTAAACGTTCCAAACTTTGGGTGCCACAGGTGTCGCAAAGGAAAACGAAGCCCTTGCACAAGTGCAGTTTGTCTGCAGAAGCGCAGCAGCTTCCCGCATGCTTCTGCTCAGAGGCAAGCTCACGCAAACCCAGCCCAATCAAGCGCGCGACCTGAGACCAAATACAAGAGAGGTTTCATCTGAGCTTGCTTCACCACCGTGCTGTGCTTGTGGGCATGTTCCATGTATGCTGTGGACAGTAGTGCCCCTGTGTGTATTTGGAGGGAATCGCACGGGCAGTCATAGCCCTCAAGAAGCAAGTAATTCCTATGTTGGCGTGCATCAACAAGCTGATACAAGGACTCCTCCAGTCTTCTACATTCCACGAGGTCCTGACCGTTTGAACTTTCTGGAGCTCCCCAAGAGGGTCTTGCACGAGCGCTTTTGCTTTCTTTGGCACACCTAGCGAACAGCTGCACTTATCACAGTCAAAGACTTCCGGTTTATGACCCTGAGCTCGCTCAAGCAAAGGATTTGCTAGGGTGGACCTTCAGCGCATGCTTGATGCATCCGTCGAGGTCATCCCTTCGGTCGTCCCACCCGTGCACATCAGCATCACAGGAGCTGGAAGTCATGGTGACCTGAGTTCATTTGCCTGCAGATCTGGGGAGACAAATATTTCTGAACTCGTGGGTGTTGCGGTTCTGTTTGCACTCGCAAACCGTCTCAGGCACTGCAAGGGCTCGACCAAAAACTCCTAAAAATGCTTCCCTTCCCACTAAGCGAGGCACTTGGATGATCTTGGTGCTGAAATTTATGGACCAGGATGTAGTGATGCCGCCCATAAACATCCTGAGCGCCGCGTCTGTGGATTTTACACGACAGCATGACAATCTCTTTGAATAACCTTGTCTGGGACTAGTGTATCTTGGCGTCAAAGGCGAAAGTGCTTCATCCCGGAAACCCTGGAACCAAGCTTCCAGCCTTCGTATTTGGTTTTTTTTTCGGTGGAGAACAGGTAAGGGCTGAACTTACAGTAACTGGCAGTCCTCAGGACTCTCAGCCAGTGCCCCCAACCACATTGCTTTGCACCCAGGTGGCAAGGCAAGACATCTTCTGCTTAATGTTTAGTCATTTGGTTGTGCAACGAAGTGGTTCGAACCAGAGCTTGCAGAACGCAATAGGCTAAGTCTTGACACGCGGCTCATGGCGCTCAGGCAGCCAATGGCCGACAGGACACCATCCAATTCCCATGGAATGCCTGGCCGTACAAAGACAGTGCATCACGCGTAGCTGCGCCGTAGCGTGACGTCCGGCATCAATAAAAAGTACATGCTGCCTCTCCGAAATGGCCCGGAGTTTATCCTAGCAACTGGTCGCTGCATACAGAGCAGATGAAGTGCTCACCCAGGTGCATGCCCCATCCAGGCAGGACATGCTTGTCAGCCACAGACTTCATCCGGAGCCAATCCTCCGCTTTCAGATGTCGTAGCTTCTCGGTCGGTGTCATGTTTAAGTTGACGCTTGAGGCTAAAAGCTTTTGGGGCATGGTTTGAGGGTTCGAACACATTAGGCACCAAAACGAGTCCGCTGCTTCGAAACCAGCCCATGAGCTCAGGGCGCACAATGTAAATTGAGCTTCAACGGGCAACACCTTACGCAAACTGAAGACTCATGTCCCGATTATCAACAATAGTTTACGATGTGGATCAGAGGGATTGTCTCTTGAGAGCTAGCACCAGTAAGTTGAGCGCTTGTTGGATAGATTGAGGATCTTGGACCGAGCCCTTGCCATCTGCTGCATGAGATCTCTCGCGCACAGCCTTACCTTCTTCAAAGACGAGCAACCCGGCAAAGCAACCTCACTGTGCCAGACTTCAGCACTCGTCGGGACGTAGCATGCGAATAGCCTGGGATCACTCGCTCTGCGGCCCATTGGGAGGACGTTGATTGAGGTCAGCTGAAATGCATTGCTGCCGGCGCTGGGTACAACTGAAGCAGGTTGGGTGATCAAAGGTGGCTTTGGAATTGCCAACTCGACGAAAAGCGAAAACACATGTCCAATCACCCAGCCTCCGTTGAGCAACGCTGCACAAAAGAGGGCTTGGTCCCTGAGTGATGACAAAAGTCCGCCTCACGAACAACTCGGCTGAATCTGCGTACTCTCAGCGCACACAAAGCCATTTACTGTACATCTGGAGGCTGGTTTTTTGCACAGGAAAATTGGATCAGGTTGGCATGACGCTCACTGCTCACTGCTTCCCCTTAAGGTTTTAGTGATCGACGGCTTGCCTGCGAAGGATCCGCAAATGCCACCTGCAGCGCTGATTGTTCATTGAACCGCGGTGAAGGCCATGAGTGTGGGCACTTCATTTAATGTCTCGAGCACACGCAAGCAAGCATTTGGCATTGTCCAAATGCTAGCTCCAACTACAGGAGGGGAGTTACCCGGTGGGGAGTTTACATAGGGGTTTATTTTATCTTAGGGATACCATCATGGGCCAGTTGCAAAACGGGTGTACAAATCGCATGTACGGTCTTCTTGGCTGCTTTGATTACTTCCACAGATTTTGGGGACTGCTTGTCCAATTTTGGTCTGTCGCATGACAAGGCTGGGATTCAAGAGGGTTTTGGTGCGTCAAGTTTTCAGTCCCGGTTTAGCCAGTTTTGTGCGAGCCAAAAGGGAACAACCATCTTGTCTTTCGATGCTACACGACCTATGAGTGTGCACAAGCTATTCAAGGAGTTGAGCAGGTTCACCGGCCCAATGCCATCTGAATGTGGTAGTTGCTGCTGCTGCTGCTGCTGCTGCTGCTGCTGCAATGTAGGTAATTAGTTAGTTAGTTAGTTAGTTAGTTAGTTAGTTAGTTAGGTAGTTGGTCAGTCGCAATCGGTTTTGCGACGTGTCACTGGTTCGACTGCCTCCAGAAAGGACCCGCAACGACCGCCCACGCACCCAGGCGCTGAATTGGGCGTGGCGGCCATCAGCCTCAGGCATCTCAAAACGCGCGTCCTTTTGGTTTGCACAGGTAAGGTCAGGCTCTGTCAAGCTTCACGCTTGAGATTTGAGATAAGGCCCTCCCCTGTGTTGGTTTGGAAATTGAGGCGCCAAAACTGGAGCATGTAGGCCTTCAAATCACGTCTTCGAAGGTCAGAATGAAGTCGGGAACATGACTTATCATGTTCAGCACTTGCTAGGACTAAATCTCTGCATCACAGCACACTTACTTGGCAAAGCCAGATTGTCCCACCCAGCATGCTAGAGCGTGGGTCTTGATCAGGCAAGCAGATGTAGACAAGTCTTCATTGCTAACATACGTTTGTCGGCAGATGTCGGGGCCATAAACGTGGTTGCTGCTGATCCTTACTCTGAAAAATTAAAAAACTGATGATTCCACTCCTGCTTTGGCTCTGCGTTGCAAATGTATCTTCCGAGAAGCGCGTCTTGCCGAGAACTTGTTCGGCAGCTTGGTCTTTCCTCAACTGTTCCGTCGATCTTGCTTGTTGCGAGCATAGTTGCTACCCTGCTAGGCCCTGTCTGGGGTATGTGAAAGATGTCCGTAGGTAAAAACAGTCGAGATCACTTCGCACGCTATCCAGGCCAGGCTCTGTGCTTTGAACGCGCTTTTGTTACCTCAGAGAGAACCGGGAAAGCAAGCGCGGATATCGAGCCCTATACCAACCCGCTTGCATCCACACTCGCCATCTTGGTTTTTGCTGGGGAGACAGAAAACTTGTGCAAAACTTGCCAAAAATTGCTAAAGCTAGCTGGGGTCGATGCCCGACCAAACGAGTCAGACCCATGAGGCAACCAATGACCCGCTGTCGACTCTTCAGGCAAGCCGCATAGTAGGCTGTCAAGCGGCGTCGCGCGCGGAAAGCGCTGACAGAAAAGGCCTTAGATTCTAACAGCGCCAGCCAGGGTAGTATTTTCAGCACACTGGAATGGATCTTTCCAAGCCTATTGTCCTCGGGGGTCTTTCTGCTGCGCTACTGCGGCTCCTTTACATGTTCCCGCCCGAATCAGAAAGGCATGATGAAGCGACCGAGCCGCCGTGTCCTTCATTCCGATCCGCTTGAAGATGCGCTTCCGGAAGTACCGATCCAGCGGCATACCTGACTTGTCACCAGCGGCTGGCTTTGCCACGGGGCAGTTGGGCTGGCTCAAGGTCCAGCCGTCCGAAACAAGGCACATGGAGAACCAAGCATAAAACAGCTGAGATTCCAGACACCACCTCGACCACGCGACCCAGAACGTCCATGCCCATGGAGTACTCCCACCTGTGCAATGCGCGCCCAACATTACAAAGATAAGCCGATGCAGCAACATTGCCACAATTCCTCACAAGCAAAGCCAAATCCCAGGTTATCTTGGACTCCACTCTAGGCGTCACACGTCAAGCAAACCTAAAGCTCCAACCATCGTGTCCCTGCCACATGCGAATCACTGGAAAATCTGGGTCCCACTCAGAATACAAGGAGACGATATCATGCGTTCATGAACTTGCTTGCGTCTCACCTCTCTCCCGGATGGAATTGAAGTGGGAATGTGGCAAGCTCATCGCAGAAGCTCTTCCTTGTCAATAAACGCGGCTGGAGCTGCCGCGAGCTGAAAAAAGGAGGGGATAAGAGGTTCTCAGTAGTTTTTGCACGCGCAAGACTCTAAATCACTTGCATACTTGAAGTTGGCCCCATACTTCAGAGTCCCCCATGTACTTTAGAGACATTCCCGAGACGGCCAAGGCTCAAGTTCGAAATTATCCCAGCATCGACGCGCTTTACGAAGGGGGTGTAGAGGCCCTTGTCCAGCTTCTCACACTTCCGCTCTCGAGAAGGACCATAGCCTGGGTCCGTCAAAATTAGGAAGTTCATCTTCTATTTACTGCCAGGCTGGGTGAGATTTTGCAAAACATACATTCTTACCCAAGGACACCCTGGCATTCCCTCTCCCTTTTCCCGCTCCTACCACTCCAGACCACACTTTACTTTTTCTCTTTGCCATTGCCAGGTGGCCGAGGCCAGAGGTATGGGTCACCAGGTGGCGGAGTGTGATTGGACGACACGCATCTTCGCAGGACTTGCCTTTGACCACCTCAAATCTTCGGGAGGGAACGTAACAATATATGATGGCAGAACAGCCTGGCCAGGCGTCGCACCTTCATGTGACGAAAGGCTGGGATGTACTTGTGGACCGGATCATCCAAGCCAATTTTGCCCTCCTGCAGGTTGATTCCTATTCTATCCGCACTCTTGCTCAAGATTCAACATGGGCATCTTCTTGGCATTTCATGCCCAGGATCGATAGGTCTGAGGTATCAACCCAAGTCATGCCGGGTAGTCTCGAACCTGCTTTTGCCGAGATTAAGTGGTGAACGTTTCAACGCTAGGGCCCTCCTCCCACAACGCCATCATCGCTACAGCCGTGATTGGCTTCCTGAGTTGCATCAAGTCGTTGACTGGCAGCGAATGGCAGCGACTTCTTGCAGAAACATGTTCTAGCCGCTGCACGCGTAAGCGTCCGCCAGCCGCTGACAGCCGAGTGTCGTCATGGAGTGGCAGCGAAAAAGTGACTTGTCCGTCATAGGGGCTCGCGATTCCTTGTCCTGCATGCCAGGGCAACACCACCTCACCTCTAAGCAAACAGTACCGTCCTCCCACCAGCCCAAACAAATGCTGTGCTGCAGGGCATGAAACCATCTTACCAACGTAAAGCCGCTGCCTGGTAGCCGCGTATGTCAGCATAGACCAAACAGTTGTCTTTCAGCGCGCATTCAGCGACTCCAGGCATGTAGCCTCACTCTGGTGTTTGAACGCTGGCTCCCCAGGCTAGACATCCCCTTGGATGCACCCACTGCATTGCGGTGTTTTTCTAGCAACTCGCCAAGGAAAAAAGCGCGGACTCCAAGAGACCCGGGGGCTCTGCGAGAAAGTCCATCCGGACTGCTTGGCAATGTCCAGGAGGCGGCTTGAACCCATGGAATTCAAGGCTACAGGAATGATGCTCCGGCATCCCAATCCCACAGACCAACGACTCTGCTGCCAGGGTGCCCATTTCGATCTGCCGTTCGTTGGCCTTGCTACTGCTATCGCTACATCTCACCTTGGGAAAGCTGCACCTTGCCCAGCCTCCCACCACACATGCCAGGGCATCTGTGGAAAGCCCCCATCGGACGGACATTTACAAGAGATCCGGGCCTCAGTGTGCTCCGCTAAGATGTCTGAATCAAGGCCAACGTCTTCCGGGCTTCCTTGGATGGTACACATTGTCGCCGGACTTGGACAGGAAAAAGGCTCCAGTCTTGCGCGTGGTGAATTTTGGGGGAAAACCGAGTCCCTTTGGGCCAGCGAACAAAAATTCTACATACCATGTGAAGATTATGGAAGACAGTGGGCCGATGACTTTTGACAATATGCCCAGAAGCAACCTGCAAACTGTCTGAGTCTGCATCACTAACGCGAACTGGTCAGAAAATGCTAGATAGTGTTAAAAAATCATGTTCATTGTTAATCCAAATTGCTTCGTCCACCTATTGGTGAGAGGGGACGAAGATGGACTAATTACTACATAGCTCCCAAAAGAAAGACAGGAGGTCTCAAAGCCACGCTCCCGACGACAATTCAATTGGTTGCCGCCGCCGACACATGACAATGTCAACAAGCTGCTACAAATCTGGCTGCGCACCCTTGGCACCGTGACCACCAAAATCAAATCACTAAGTTCTGTCAATGTCAATGCCACATCTGTTCCAGCAGGGTCACATCCTACTCCCGTGTCCTCCCACACCTCCACCACTTCTGGTGATATTCCTTGCTACTTGTGGTAGCATGAAATAGTACCAGCACCGCCTGACATTTGCGCGGCAGAAACCCCAGGCCAAGCATCGAGGTGGCAGGCCTGGCAAACCTCACTGCTCTGCAGGGGACTAGGAACTATATCCACAAAGCGGCGGTGTCTGAGTTACTTTCTGACAATCAGTCGTGGGCTTTCCGCAACTGACTACTCTGGGCAAAAAGTGCTGCCAGCATCCAAAGATTGAGGCTTCTGGCCTACCTACAAGGTGTGCCACCACTTCAGATCTCAGTCAAGTTGCATATCTTGTGAGCAAGTGGAGACTTGCTGACAGCTTTGGACATGGTCACCGCTGCTCAGCCGACAGGAGCCACACAAGTCTAGGAAGGGAATGCTGGGTGTTGCCTTCAGGACTATTACCTGGAGCTTCCTGACAATCACAGAAGCCTTGCTGTTTTTTTCGATGCTGGGTCATAGAACATCCCTGGGCTTGATCCTGTTGACTGCAGCGATCGACAGCGGGATCCCCAATCGAAGCACAAGCAAAACTGATCGCATGAATGTCCAGCCTGCGTTGCGAGCAGTTTCCGAGCGAGAGCCTATCCCAAAACAGAGCTGAGTTCCGAAACTAATCATACAACTGACCACCCACGTCATCAGGAAATGCTGCAACATACTGGTTTAGCAACATCCATTCATTCATTCGTTTCATGCTCGGGTCCATTCGTAACATAAAATATTTTGACAACTCAAAGTCTTCAGTCCAAGTGCGGTGCCAGAGCCACGCGCAGTAGATGCGGAGGACTCGGAAGGCAAAGCTGCGTGCAGCGCCAGCTTTAAAAAAGTGGTGACCGTTGGCTTGCTCTAGTGCTCTCTAGAGGTTCCCATGCTTATTCGCTTTGAGACCTTGGACCTTGGCGAAGCTTGCAAGACAGTCAGAGCAGACACTGGCCGACAAAATTCTCTGGGAATTCCACCCCCGTCAGCTGTGAAGAAGCCTCGCACCATGGCTTCTTTCCCTAAGTCTGCTTCTAGCTACATTCCCAGCTCTATCTTCAGATCTGAGGCATAGGCAGAATCGCTCAAACGCAGCAAGCAAGCGTACATGTGCATCCGACACAGATTGCCAGGAGCTAAGCCCAGATCTCCACGATGAAAGCATACGGGGTCGGTATGCTGCGGTATGGAAGCTTGCTAGACACTGCTGATAATATTCCCCTTGACTTATGACTTATGCCATCCGCTACTAGCAAGAAGAAATGGCCTTCTGTGCCTCGTCGGATGTCTGGAAGTGCGCGGGCCTCAGATGGACGTCCCAAGCCTGAAGCCTACGACATAAGGGTCGTCAGGCCTGAGCTTTTTCTTTGATTGGGAAAGGCCAAGAATTCACAACTTATGGGGCCCTTATGGGGCTGCAAGAAGTGATTTGGGAGGCAAGGCCTGCCTGCTGCCCGAAAGAAAGATAACTATGCAAAGCAAGCAGGACCCCGCTGAACCCTACCCTGCCAGGGTTGAGGCGTGCACCCTACCATACGCATGAGGGCAGACCGCAAATTCATGATGGCTTCAAAAATGCCCTGCCAGCACAGGCTGCATTACAGGAGAAAGCGCCCACTTCACAGACAATAACTAAGTGTGGGATGTTGTTGGGTTTCTGGAACGGTGCCCACTTGCGGCACGGTGAGCTCGCAGCCATGCACGCGTCATTGTTGGCACGCCAAGTCCTCACCATAAGGACGGTCCAGGCCACTAAACTGAACAAATGACATCATCTGACTGGAACGATGGCCTCCGAGAGGAATAGGACTAAATGTGTTGAGCTCAGGTTTGTTTACCTGAAATGCTGGCGGCGACATTCGCTCCAGATCCTGAACCCAAATCTTACAAATCAGCTTTGCGATGAATTGCATTGGCAGATTTACTTGGCAAAGCTCCAATTCCAGTCATGGCAGTCCTGTGTTGACTGGCATCATCCAGGAGGGTGTGCGGGCGTACTGCGACACCTGATGTGAATGGCGGACAGTGCCAACTTCAACCAGCTCCTGCTTGCGCCAACACTACCAGGTGGAAAAGCGACGTCAGGCTTGATAGAACGCAGCAAAGCCTGCAGTTACCATTACAAAGAGACCGGCCCTGTCATGGGTACATCGCCAGTCTGATTGAGACGCCCGCAAGGTCGGAGAGGTACATGGGCGGATTTGTGATGTCCTGACGACACTTCTCAGAGGAATGGTCGTGAGTTCTCGCTGGGTGATGTAGCTGCATCAATAATTTCAATTGGGGGGCCAGAAGTACTCAGAGTGGCACATCCTGTCCACAAGCCAAAAACCTGAATCTAACCAGAACAATCTGAGGCACTTGCAATGGTATGCTTGACCTTGCTGCTAGCGCTGCAATGAAGTGATTACTTCGAACACCATTGTTGACGCTTCCTCTGGCTGGCCGCATACTTTGTCGCCATGGTTTGACAGTGCCTCTCAGGCAGCGACAATTTCCGCTGACCAGGGGTCGAACGCGTAACCTCGTGTCCGGACAAGCAACGGCTGCAGTCTCCTCAAGTCCCACAGTCGAAAGGAGCAAAAGCACTTCAGGCCGTTACGCGAATAGCCCTCCACAATGAAAGGCCCCTCAGTTCAACGATTTGCCGACACTGCTGTTCGCTTGGCTTGTCTGCAGTGTTCCTGCCTCCATGTTCATCATGGGCGAACCGCCAAAGGCTGGGGCCTTCAGCTTCCAGGCACTCATCCCGCTCGCGATGCTTCGTTTGCGCAGTGGCGCTATGGTGCTTGCAATGCGTTGATGCAAATATCAGCAATTACCTAGCTACAGCTTTTTGATCATGCCTTAGCTCCCCACCAAAAGCGAGCGCACATCTTTGAACCACAAACTGAGTCGCCACCTGGAGAACAACAGAACAAAACTTAACTTCAGCTCCAATCTTTGGATCTTTTCAAGACTGGAATCCTTTGTGCAGTGCTGCGCCTTGCAACAGCTACGGAGCTCAAGTCAAGTGGCCCGGCCTGACGTACATCTGGTCATTGACCGGCCTTGTCTCCCAAGTATTGGAGAGGAGGGATTGAGATTCGGAGCATGTTAGAATGTACAGCATTGAAAGAACCGAGGAAGCCTCCTTACAGGGATTGCTGTAAGATGAACTAAGGAAACCCTGGAGCTTCGTGAGCCATGAATTGCTTCCTCTCGTCATGGTTCCTTAGCACGGAACCCTTGTAGCTCATCAAGCTTGTGCAGTTGCTGTCAACATCACACGGCATTCTTCCCCAGAAGGCAAGGGTCAGAGGAAATGCTTGGCTCAGGACGGCGTCAAGGAAGTAATCTCCATTTTGCTTCGATCACAGGTCGTTTTGATCTCAGTGAAGCAAAACCAGCACAGAAGCCCGTTTACTTGCCAGACCAAGAGGCCGTCTACTTCGAACGGCAAAGAATGAAACTGTTCCCACAGCATGTCTGAGGAGGAAGCGGACCACTGCATCGTAGAGAGCACCTGTCAGGCTCAGGATAACGACAACTCTCTCATGGAAGGGCCATAAGAACAGCTTCAGCACTCGGAACGATGCTGCCTTCCTACAACTAGCACCTGTTGATACGTAGCCAGGCCGCGGAGCTGGAAGCTTGGAAGGCGAGCATCAATCACCTTGCGGCAGCGAGGAGCTGCCTGCTTCATGCCTTCCTACTGTTGTCTGTCTCCATCTGCCTTTCAATTTGTTCCAGCTCTGAAGGGTCTATCGGTTCAGGCACCCATCCAGGGTTAGATGCTGCTGGGGACTGATCTGGGGCTCATCTCAGAATCAACACTGCATGTAGCATGCTAGGCTTGTTGGGTGCCTCAATGTCTGGGCTGTAGATGGAGAAGTCTGGTACGTGCGGCCTTGTGGGCGGAGTCACTGATCTGGAGGACAGGCACATGTTCTGATGTCTGAAGTGCTTTGTCTGCTTCCGCTGAGAAGTTTGGAATGTCTGAGGTTCCAACGTTCGACCGAACAGGCCCACCATGTCGCGGCGCAGGACATCCTTAGCACAAGCAAGGCAGAGAATCTACATGATGGCACCCGGGTTGTCTAAGATGTAAGAAGTTATAAGCCACCTGTGCCTTGGGCGGCATCTAGAATCAAGAGCACCGAAGGTACCTTGTAAACGCCAAGGGTAAGACATATGTATTTCTTATACTCTATTGTTTCCTTTGCCTTCAAGACAGTATCCGTAACTAATCGATTCCTGTGAAACCCTGGCGAGAACCAAGGCCCTTGACAAACGATTCCCTTCTGCATATCGGTTCTTCAATCCTTCCCTGCCATGGATATTTTACTCTTCCTCTACATTGCAAATTATACTCCATCCCTTTCTTTCCCTTCCTTTCTTTCAAGGCTATAGGGGCGTCCGGAGACACCCCTTTCTTTCCCTGTCTTTCTCTGTCTCTTCTCTCTCCAGATTCAGCTCTAGAGCCACAAGCGGCTGAACGCATTTTCACGCTGCCTCGCATGCAGCCACTGATTTGCACCACATCAGCTACGAGCAAGAAGCCAGAGTCAGGGCTGTGGCGGCGCAGCGTACAGGTTGCGCTTTGCTGCTGCTGAAAGTTGATGGCAAAAGGTGCTTGACGCTGCCCGATCCAAAGCATTTTGGGCTGGCTGGATAACTCAAGACAAGCTGACTGAAGGTTGCAAGTTCACCGCCTGTGTTGCGGTTCGCACGATGTCCTATGCTGAGCGGCAAAGCAAGAATTTTGGGGACTGAACCACACGAAAGCTACAGTTTCCTGGGCTCAGCTTTCCTGGCTCCGGTTTCTTGTCAAGACGTCACTCACATGCAGACTCAGGGGGTGCCTTTGAGGAGCATACGGATACATTGTTCATTTTGCGCAGCAGGCAAGGCTAATTCAGCATGCCATGCTCGCTGCTCAACCCAAACCTTGACCCACTCAAGGATCTATCTTTTTCTCAGCATTTTGGGAGGAGAACATTGCTGCTTACCCTTGCGGGGCACTCTGCGTTTCTCAGCTCACTCGGAGATGGCGACCCGGACAGCATGCCGTGACCTCAATCAAACCGCCAGCTGAACTGACGAAGATGGTGCAAGGTGGCTGCATCAGTCCAGGGGGCAGACCGAGGAAGGCCACATCAGCTTGCCAAACGCACCCGATAAGGCCCACAGGGCTCCTGGCTAGAAATTGTCCAATGATGCGGATCTTGCCTGCATTGTTTGCAAAAAAATCCAAGCTCGCAAAGTCAGAGTTTCACGCACCGCTGATTTCGAACCCAAATCTAAGCAGTCATCAGGCTTTTGCAAAGCTAGCATCTGCTTGTGTCTCAGGCAAGCGGCCACGTCTGTCTTCAACCTGAGCAACGAAAAATAGATCCAAGGCAGGGTACCTTCAAAATTCCTGTTTAGGTCATTGCTGGAGTTATCGAACTTACACTGCGTTACCAGCGCATGTGGTCAAGGCAGGTTGGGACCAAGTGACAGCTGGCCCTTCTGCAGTCGAACGACAAGCCTGGAGGGGGCATTCAGTAAGTCTATCAGGGCAATGCCGCGATGAGAGGCGCAGGATAGAGAAAGCGGCTAAAGGTTCACGTCTGAGCACCCTGAGCTTCTAGGCTGCACTGGGGGGATAGCCTGATTTGCATAATGAGGACTCACAATGCCACTGGATGCAGCTGCTACAAGTACATGGTGTCAGTCTACCTATGTTGGCACATGCCGAGGCATCAACCCATTTTGCACCAACCGCTTCACGACGGCATGCGTGGCTGGCATGGCCTCCTTCCTTCATGCTGTCATAGGATGTAATGATGAAGGACGTGAGGGCACAGCATGCAGCAGAATCAGCAGAGATGCGACCCCCCCCCCTGCTCTAACACATTCAAGAAGCCAACTATCACCCAGTTTCAGCTCTAAACGTGGCACTTCGCTGGGTCAGCACGTCCTGAGCAGGAAAGGTTACAACCTGCAGTACTCCTCACATCTCCTCACAGCAGGTCAAATTCAACGGAGAGTCTTGTCCACTCCGCGCCGGCGGACGAGTCCCAGAAGAGCTCTCTCCAGTGCATCGTCGAGGTCAGCTCCCTGACCTGGCCCTGAGGCACGTAGCACAGGGATGTTGTCATGGCATGTGCTCAGAGGCAAGGAATGAATGCAGCCCTGTAGCTGCCACTGGATCCTGTTCCTGTGCTGTCAACGCATGCCCTCTTCGAGCAGTGCTGCCTGCAAGGCCGGAGGGGCATGAAGCTTTGCTGTGCTTTGCTGCCTTTGGCATTTGGGACAAGCACCAAAGTTGACAATTGTTGAGAAACCATTGACAGGCATGCCTGGTGTCAGATTATCTCACCCTTTTTCATCCCTTTGCCATGCCGAAGGATTTGGCACATGTGCAAAGAGGTGCCATGCACCCCCTGATCAAGGAGGTCCAGGCCTGCTCTATACAGACATGCATGAGACGCTGAATGCCAGATACTCATCCAGGACAGGTGAAACAAGAAGCAGGGGGCTTAGCTCACCACTGCAGTCTGATAGGTTTTTGTCGAACAGAACATTCGGGCCTTTGGCCGTCCTAGCTAATGCGTCAACTCACATACACGGATATCATCTCATCTTTGGATTCCTGACAGTTTTTCAACTGTGTCAAACGGTCAAAGGACTAGTTGCAGCTTGCGAACGAGCCAAGTGGACCATGTTTGTTTGCGGACTGGGAAGGTCGCCTCTTCGATCGCACGCCATGCCTGGCCTGCCACTCCCCTTGTCGGGCAAGCATGGCACTCCTGAGGACAACGCAGGAGTATGTCCCGAGACCAGGAACCTTCTCATCTCTTCTCTGCATTTACGTACTATCGGATCTTTCATTCAGCGGTCTTCAACTTGAGGCTGCAAAACGAAGATTGAGATTCGGGACAACACGCTGCCTGCCAAGCAGTCAGACTATGTCACCCTACATACACATCATACACCTACGCAGTCCTCAGCAGGATCCAACTTTGCAATCATCTCAGGCGGAGCGCACAGATCCCTTGCCATGTCCAAGGCAGTCCTTGGCAAGGAAGTTTTCATGAGACAAACAACCGGGGAAAAGGGCGTTCGGTGCTGGGCCGCTAGGAAGCGCACATGTCACGAACAAGTAGGTCAATCGTTGAGGCAGTCTTGCTTAGCTTTCCCTTGCCAGGTAGGAGGAGCGGCCTGAGGCACTTAGGCACTTACATAAATCCAATAGTAGACCCCGCGTCATTTGTTTTCTTGATACTTGCCACCTGCTTTTCCTCATTCCTGAAGTGGAACTCGGAAAAGCACCAACGGCAATTTTTCAGGGAAGAAAAGGCTTCCTGTTCCCGAGATTGACATTGAGGGATGCCAGGGGGAAACGTGCAAAATCACCAGAGGCTGCGTCCAAGCAACTTCCCGCGAAAGTTCTTCAAGTCACGCCGTGCCCCTAAGGCAAGAAGAGCCTGCGTGGCTTCAAAGGCACCGCCGATTACACTGAACCTGACACGGTCAAAGGAATACATGAATTCGCCTCCTTCCATACCAAAAAAGAACAATACTTGGAACCTTCCAAGGGACATCAGAGGGGTAGCTCCATGATGATGGAAGGCCATTTCCTTCCACCTGGTGGAAGCCCCAACTCCGTATGCCAAGCTTGCGACCTTGCACAAGATCCACACAAGGAAATACCTTCTCTGCTTCATATTGAGCCTTTCGTTGATGTCCGCTCTGGCCTGGGCCAGTGTCTGTACCAAGCGGCCGGAGCCACTGCCGAGCGCACACGCAAAGTGCAGGCTATACTCCAAGCTCTGCGCGGGTAACTGAACCAACATTTCGTCAATAGCCTCGAGCCCATCAGACGCACAGGCGGCCTGAAAAGCACTGGTTCCTGTGATGCCCAAAACTCCGGCATCGGCCCTTGCGTTCACAAGAATGCGTACTCCTTCGGCATTGTTGGAGAAGCAGGCCCAATAGAGAGCAGTCTGTCTTCGACCATCAGTCGCATTGATTGCAGCCCTAGCCTCCAAAAGAACCAACATGACATCATTGCTCTTGAAGAAGGCGCTGAGGGCAAGAGCGGCAACTTTCTTGGGGAACTGCGCTTCCGGGGTGCTTCTGCGAGTGTAGTCATTGGGATCGGCCCTGCATCGCAGCAGCTCTGAAACCACAGCGGAATTGCCCTGCAAAACAGCATAGCAAAGTGGAGACCAACCAGCTTCATCTACCTGCTTGACTGACTTAAAGCCGTTCTGGTGCAAGAACCGTGCGAGTCCGAACGCTTCCGGGTCGACAAGTGGGTCATGGCGTGGACTGAAACCAGGTATTGCAAGGTCAACAGGATCTATGTTCAAATGTCGTAGCCGCGTCACCTGTTGGTTCAGGATGAACCTATAAGTGCGCAAGTCGCCCTTCTTTAAGCAGAAGTGGAGCTTGTTCCAAATTAATTGAACCACGATGCTGGCCACTTTCTGGCTATCCTCCCTCACGGTAAAAAGGCCTTCCCCGGGCGAATAGGCCAAAGATTGTGCTCCAGGCAGCAATGTCTGGTGCACTGCACTGTCCACAACGATCACAAAGCCAGATGTTGGCGCGAGCTCACGTGCCATGCGCTCTGCCCTACACCATCCTCTCTGAGACCACGTCGAGAAACTTAACATTTCCGAGCGGGACGCATGTGTCAGAGCAGGACAAAGAATGATGAAATACAAGCACCTTGCGACATAGCTAGGAATGCTATTGATGGCACTCAGCTGCTCGTTTGCTGATCTTTGAGGGCAGCTGAAGAAGTCATACCATAGGAATAATGGCGTTGATCGCAGCTCTGCGGCCGACGGGGTGCCAGCTTGGCCGTACCAGAGCTCCGAAAGAATAGAATTGGAGATTCGACTCCGGTCTTCAAGCAGATTGCTAAGGGCATCCTGCAACACCTTGAGTTGCTGGCCATCTGGATCTGGATGATGAGGGCTGAGCCATTGGTGTGACACGAAGATCGCTCTTCCCATGCTTTCGTCGAAGTCAACAAGAATGCCAGCCTCGAGCAACTCTTCATGCGCCTGGTTGCAGCGGCTTGCTTTTCATTCCAGGCATGGCTTTAAAGCAAAGGCCTATGGGAAAGTTCTCTCGACAAACATACATATGTTGGCATTTGCTGGTATGACAAGATAGTCATTGGAAGGCGTGCAGCTGCACTCCAGCGATGTGGAAATGCTAGTGTCCAAGTCTTTGTGCACCCAGCCTGGACTCGCGTTACAGCCATCTCAAGGAGCACCGGAAGAGGAATGGTATACATCGGAAAGCTTGCCAAGCAGCGGAAGACTGACGCTGGGCTGGCTTCTGCATTTGCACGCACCATGGCAGCATGCTGCTCCAGTGGGCTGTCATATCTGGCAGTCCCCGGTAGACATGGCATTCGCGCTTGTGAGAGCTACCTAATGTGGGCTGCAAACTTGCACTCATCTGGAGCCACTGATGATTGAAGGCATTGCCTGACACCGCCTGACTGTGACAAAATCAAAACGCGCTTCTAAAATGTAAGAGCGCTGCCAAACTTGAAGTGCACACTTGGCAAAACCAAAGACAGCTTGGCTGTTTTGCTATGCTGTACCATTCATCGCCCACGCTGCGTCGCAGAGAGCCATGATGATGCCCGCACGAAACAATACCCTTAAATCCCTCAGTCCTTCGGCCACGCTGCTCAGTGCACGCTGCCGGCCGCTTCAGCTGCTTCATCCGGGGCGATCAGAGGGTGGCAAGAAGTACCCGCCCCAGCCTAGGGTCTACCTCCTGCAGTTTAAGCGGGGCTTATTGCTACTTTAAACCCAAGTGCTGCTGATCTTTTATTGCTTTGCTATGAGCCGAACCCCGAAGCGATAAGCTTGAATACAAGCAGCATAGCACGCATGACCCCCGACCGTTCGCGATTCAAAGCATTTTACACAAACACAAGGCAGACTTAGACTGCGAGGTACTGCCTTGCATGATGGTGCTCGAAATACGGCTCTTCCGTACATGACGGCCCTTAATCTGGTCAGTCAGGCTGGCGGCATTCTAGTTTGTTTGCAGCAGCTTCAGATGCTCCTTCACACACCCTCTTCCAGTGCATCACCCACAAATAGCACCTTTATCGTGCTGGGAATATTCCTAGAAACAATTCCTGGCCATCTGCTTCTCCGGCAACGTTGAGGTTTGGACGATCGCGCGACCAACGTTCAGGCGGTACTCATTCTGCGCCTGGGGCTTTGGGGCGCTTGTTTTGGCAATTGACTGACTGACTGACTGCCATACCTTTGCTAGGCGCTGCACTTGCAACTTGTTTGTCATACCCTGTCTGCCTCAACTCTGAGGCTGAGGCCTTGGGCTTCTCCAGCGTGGTCCCCCCCTGCACAAACAAACCCCAAGCAGCACATGCCAAGATTTATCAGATGAGAGGGGGTGAAAACTTACAAGGATGGCTGAGCAGCTGCCAACGTCAAGCCCCCTTTAAGATTCGGAGCATCGTGGCGCAAACAGGATCGTTGCCCATATGCAACACGAGTACTTCTGAGTACTGTGCAATCGCTGAGGTGCCATGGGGCGCGCAGACACGGATTCAGCGATGCCTGGGTAACCTTGCTTGGTCCCTACCAGTGTGGCCCCCTGCCCATACCCCTCTGGAACCAGGAACCAGTTGTTGGGGAGATTGAATTGGCAATTACTCTGACCGCTTGCGTTCATACGATTACAAGTAGCGCTGAAATTCTGCAAGTGTGACTGCTAAGTCCATTCTCCAAGCGGCCTCTGCCAAGAGCGCCACAGAGCGCTGAGCACGAGGACGGAGGCCCTGAGTGCTAGGGCCGGCTGCCAATGACGAATTGGACAAAAGAAAGCAAAGCACATTTCCTTGAAGATCTACATCCGAGCAACACTTGAAGGTCCGTTGAAGCAGCATGTGTGTAGAATCTTCAGTGCCTGCGAAACAGCCTGGACAGCTCAAGCTTTGTAGGTTCCGCGCTGCTCCGCCAACAAAGGCCAAGAACCCGCTGTATGCGGCCTGGGTCAGGCCAAATCATGCCGTACAACTTTCACGACACCTGGTTGGGATGTTCGCTTGCAGGAGTATGCCGCTTGTCTTGCTTGCAAGGGTCGAAAGTCATGAGCTCACAGTCCTAAGAACCTTTCACTTCAGGGGCCGGCCACCAGTCCAAGAACTGCTACCACGCGCAGGCACCTAGGTTTGGGAAAGGCAGTCAACCTGCTGAGCCAGCCGAAGTGAGAACTGGTTTGAAGAATACGGCTCCAGAGACTGTAGACAAAGGACAGATGCCTGGGTTCCCGGCAGTCGACTTCCTCAGTACCGGGCACTGCTTTGGCGATGTCACGCCATATACGTAATACTTCTTGGAAGACCGGATAGTTGAGATGCAGCGGATATCACCATCAACCCTATAGAGAGAAGATGCGCCTAGCTCCTTCAGCTATTGCCCCGTTCTAATTACCAAGCACAAAAGGCATGGACTCTTCTCGGACCACTGTTGTGTTACATTCCGCTTTCTGGGCTGTCGTCTGGAATGCTGCCAGTTGGCTGGGGGATCGGGCTGGGGCTTTGCCTGAGGGCGATCGAAATATTCTCCTCTTTCAAGTTGATATCTCCTGCGCACCTCTGTGCAATTTGCCCGCAGCGCTGCTGGCCATCCCTACCTTGCATCGGCAGTTCAAGTTAAGGCATTGTGACCATCATGCAGGAGTATCAGACGGTTGAGGCAGTGATTCGCAACAGTTCCAAAGGCAGCTAGACCAGCATCCACATTCAAAAGACTCTCAGCACTCTCTCCGAGGGTCATACGTCTTGCCAGAAAGTGCTTGGCTATGTGGTTGTGTGTCACGAAGAATCTTAAGGAAGAAGCATGCGCAGGTAGTCTACGGAAAGCTTTCAAAAGCTACGTGGGATAATGCTTGCTGCTGACCTGGAACGTGTCCTGAGCCTGAACAAATTCGTCCAAAGGAGGTACAAGCTTGAGAGGGCCATACACTCGGTCGGCAATTTGTCTCGAGCACATGAGAGGATATGCTTGTGGTCTATCCCTTAGCACCAACCCTTCTATCCAATGCGCATCTGCAACCAATTCCTGCAAGAAAGGGTCTGTGCCAACTGTTTCAGGATAGGCAGCTCAGTGTCTAATGCAAACGCGTCAAACCGAACCTGTCCACAACTTGCAGCGAAATCTGGAATCGAAAATTAACTAGTCTGCCAAGCCAATTCTCTTTCAGCTGGTGGTGAGGGTCAGCTGATGAGGCAGGTTGTTTTCTCTAGAGTGGACGCTTGCCGGACCGATCTTCACTGAATTGAGAGTAGGCTGGCACATCGTAGCAGTAGCAGCCGACCCAAAAGTGCTGCAGCATGCAAGGTCGTTCTGTCAGCACCATGTGACGACATGTTAACACATCGCTGCGTCCATGTTCATTCTTCCTGAAGCCCGTTGTGCATCCAGTGTCTGGGACTTCCCTCAGTGCTTCTGACACAACGACCATCCCTCAGGCCAGCACTCAGCGGTGTAGAAGATGGCTCCACACCACGTCTGCAGCGAGCCCTTCAAAATCATTGGAGTAGCAAATATTCAAGCTGGAGCCGTCATCGCAAAGCCCAGAGGGAGAGGCCCCGCGTTCCAGTAGAGTCCAGCTGTCAGTCACCCGTAGGCATCCAGTCACCTTGCTGGCAGATCTGGAGGGAGAACCCCATGCTGTGGCCCATCCTGAGCTGTCATGCCTCTGCAACTCTACACGACATGTCATCCCCAAAAAAGTGGGGGATCAAACAAATCAAAGAAGGATCAACAAATCAAAGTCGGGGACCAGGAAAATCAAAATTAGGATCAAACACTCAACAAAACGAAGTAAGGACGCTCCACGCGAAAGCTTGATTTTCCCAACTACTCCGTCAGCATCGACTAGTTACAACCCCACAGCCTTCTGACAAAAGGGGACGCGGCCCAAGCATCGCAGTAATCTGGGATTGTGCGTCCTGCTGCTCCGTGACTCTCGGTGGGGTCGCATGGATGGCACATCCACACGTTCAGCACGTAACCTCGGCTTGGCTTCCAAGGAGTTGTCGACACTTCAGCATCAGTTAGCTAAGCAGCGAGGCTTGTCGCCATTGTGCGTTACACTATGAATGAAGGTGTCATCAAAGGTGATGACTTCACCTTCCACCCAGCGAGTGGTTTCCTTTGCTCAGCAGAAAATCATGGCATGGCATGCGGTGCCGTCACACCTGTTCTTGCATGGGCATTACTGTGCTACTGCAGCTGCCATCATGTAGCAGTTCCACCGGCAGTGCAACTTCTGCATATGAAGTCAAAGCGATCAATGTTCAGGCCCCTAGCCTAACGGGAGTCTGGAATGCCAAGGATCGTGTCCAACAGACATGTAAACCTCACCATCCGGAACCAGCAGAGCCAAATGAGCCTCAGCTTCGCAAACAACCATGTCTTCATGTCACTTTTTAATTCTTCCTTGCGCTCGCATGCCTGAAACATCCACCTCCTCCTGCAAACAACCTATTTAATTGCCAGCACTCCTGCCCAACACCTACATTCATGCTGAAGAATCAATGTCCACAGCCCAGCGCGCTGAAAGAAGCTTGAATCAAGTTGGGCCATCCTACTGCCAGCAACAGGCCGCTTAGCAACAGCAACATCTGCTGCAGAGACATCTATGCATCTTGAACAGTCTGATGCCACGTGACACTAAGCCGCGGTGCTCCACCGAAGTGCGGCTTCAGACGGCCTTCAAACTAGCTTTACTTTGTCACAGCGGAGGGCTAAGGCCCGCATGAAAAGCACACAACAAACGTACACAGGCACGTCTACCTCTAGCCAAAAAATATCCATTGCGCCTCAAGCCGACATCCCAATACGACGACAACATCAGTTGCTTCAACTTGCATAGGTAGGATCGGGTGTGGACTGCTGTCACTCCAGCCACTGCAGTGGGAACTGAGTAGATCCCTCCCATGGTACGCAAGGATGATACGTCAATTCGGCCTTTAGGAACTTTGACAATTTTGGATCCTCCCACCACCAAACCCTCCCACCAAAACACTGCGTTTGAAACAATCAAATATGGACCCTGCCCCCAACCTCTGATAGAGTTGACGGATCAATAGAGCATGGTTTTTTCGGATCGCCCCTGCACTTGTGACGTCAGGGACACGCAGGCGGGCCTCAGGAATTTACCCTCAAATATCAGCAACTTGCATCCTACAGCCAGCTGTTTCTTTGCAGAATGTAATCGCTTGCCGTGCTGATACTGGCCTTACACTGTTTGCAGGACATGCGTGCAAGGCCTCCTGGTCTCATGCGCAAGAAGCCGGAACCAGACAAGCCCGAGTGGCAGTCCTTCGTGGGAAACTGCAGCCGATACCCATGGGCTACCTGCTACCTACCTGGCACCCACTAGCTTGGGAAATGAAGTCTACTGTCTGAGTCTCCGCGAGCTCTGGTCGAGCACGCAGCAAGGCACAAGTCCTTGGATGGGAAGGGTGTTCGAAAAGTAGAAAGCACAAAGAAGTTTCTCCCATCAGATTTTGGCAACACCTGGTCACCTGGGCCAACTGGATCTACCCAAACAATTGCAAGGCAAGTCTCCGAGGAGCGTGGGCGCACACCAACTCGTTAAACGCAGCTCCACGAACCAAGTAAGCAGTAAGCCAGTCGTCGTCCCGAGGCCCAAATTGAGGCTCCGCGTTGCGTGTGGCCTCGCTACAGCTGCTGGCTCAAGGATGGGTGACAAAGTCTTCATGTGTCCACCCGCGCCGTCTCTCCTTCATGACTTAGATCATGAGTTGATTGCTAAGTTCGTGGTGTTTGTTGTTGTCATGAGGTGAGGGTCCCGTCGCTGTCATCACCTGGCAGCAACAGCACTTCAAAACCTTTAGAGGGCATTGTGATGCCTCCCCTGAGTTAGCAAGCTACGCAGTCAGTCAGACATGCCAATCTCTGCGACGATGCGCTCAAACGTTCCCAGGCGGGAAAAAGCTTTCCCAGATGGATGGAGGCTCTTTAAACGGTTGAACTGGCTGGCACACCTAAGTGCCAGCGTTGCATCAGCCAAGCAAGTTGGGACACCAACTGGTGCACCCTTTGCATTTCTTCACTATGCGCAAACGCCTTGATGACCTGTCAAAGGCTGCACTTTGTTCATTATCCTGTTGATTCGACAAACCAGCTTCAGATTTGCAGGTTTACGCACGGCAATTTGCCAGCCACCTTGCCCCACCTCCCTGCTGGTTCCTGTGTGTTTGAAAACTAAACGCTGAGAAGTTGCCGAGAAACAAAAAGGCAGACGTACGGACAGTCTTTGCTGCTATTGCGGACATGGAGCACTAGGCGCACAGCTAGGAGAATTACAAGGAGCACCTCAGAATCTCACACCTGTTAAATTGGCGATCGAGACCTTCGAAAGGCAATCCGCTAAGGCTGCCTGATTCATCAAACTGAAGCGATGCTCGTCAGCCAGGATGGCCAGCCTCATTGAGCAAATCCAGCAACGTTAAAAGCAATCACTTCCAGATTCAGGGGTGAGCCTCCACTTGGTCGGCATCTTGGATCTTGCAAAGTCAGACATGCACACTGGAATCCGCAGAATGCAGGCCAGCTAGCAGTTCGCCCTGGATGGTCGGGAAGTTGTCCTCCAGAAAGGCTACAATCGGCACCTGACACACATCAGAATTGAAGCTTCAAGAGACCATGCTGTTTCTTGTTTCTTGTCACAAAACCCTCGTTCACAGCGACACCGACCTGTTCCCGGGCATTCTTCCAAATCGGGCCCTGGTTGACGACCGAGGCCTTAGCAAATTTCGTCCCAGCTGCTTCTGCAAACAATCCTGGATACCCTCGGATGCAAGCACCAGTGCACATGAAACAGGCCCAATTCCGATTGAAAGAGAAAGGCATGTCGTCAGCAACTCGGCTGGAAAAGAATCCGACAAACCCGATAAATGGAACATACAACTCGAGTGACTTGAGTCGCGAATTGGGTGGTCAGCAGGGTATAACAAACCCAGCCACCGCTGGTCAACCTACCTAAAAAGGCACGCCCGAGGGTACATCAGACTTCTTCAGCGGCCAGACCATGCTATGTGAACACACTGGCATACAACTGCACCCAGCCAAGACATCTGTTTCTGCAAGATTTGAAGTTTGTGCTTGTTTTTGCTTTTTTGTTTTGCAGAAGGTGGTTCTAGGTGTGTTCATGGTTTGGGCAGGTTTGGAGTGTTTGTCGCTTTTTTCTGCATCATTTGCTTTTGAGCCTTTGTAGCTGGTTGCAGCAGTTTTGCCATGGTTTTGAGAGGTTTGAGCCCTACTCGGGTGGTTTTTGAAGTTGAGATTTGCTGGGGTTTTTCCACACAGCCACGCCGCAATAGAAGCCCCACTCCCCAATAAGGACACAAAACCTGAATGAAGCTGCCACCCCTTAGTACTGAATGTTCTTTCTGTATAGGGGGGACACAAAACCTGAATGAAGCTGCCACACCTTAGTACTGAATGTTCTTTCTGTATAGGGGGGAAACTTTCATTATGACACAGTGGGGGTGGGGAGTTTGAGGCTTGCTCGGGATTCTGAGGCTATACAGCCACTCCAGCCAGATCCTTCACACATTCAACCTTAAATCATCAGCTCCAAATCCCAAACCAGTAATTTACAGCCTTTTAAAGCTTTCAGAGCTTGTCAATTACATATTGCCGATATCTTAACTCACATCATCGGACCTTTTCTAAGATAGCAAATTCTGTTAAAGGAGAATTATACGGGGTCTTTTGGGGATTGATAAGGGGTGTCGTACAGGGTAGGAGGTTATATGCCGGTGTTATGGGGGGTCATACGGGATCGATTAATTGTTCGTAGGGGCTTTTCTAAGGACGCTCAGACGGTTTAATCAGGATTTCAGGAAGGGTTGTATCAGATTTTCGTACCGGGATTTAAGGGTTTTGGGCGGTTTATGGAGGATTTCTGGAAGGGGTGCAAGACGGCTTAAGAGGGTTTAGAAGGGCGGTTTATAGGGTAGCTTGTGTGCATAGTGGAGTTAGTAGCATTGAAGTGGGTCTGGCGTGGCTAGCTTCGTTTACGGCTTGGCTCTTTGGCTTTGGCTTGCTTTTTCCGATGGTTTGGCTTGGGCTGGCTGACTTGGCTTCAGCGCGGGGGGGAGGGCGGCAGCCCCCTCCCCCATCGGCACCTCTCTCTTTTGTGGGGTGTTGAAGCGTTTAACTTACATCTTGCCACATCTCTGATCTGTCAAAGCAAAATAAAAATAGGCCTGCGGGTACATAGGAGATTCGTGCTGGCTTGCTTGCCTGCTGGCTTGCTTGCTGGCTTGCTAGCTGGCTTGCTAGCTTGCATGCACTTGCTTGCATGCAAGTAGGGATTTCTATGGGGTTCGTACTAGGTGCACAAGAGGTTTTGCATGGGGGTATATTAGGTTTTGGATGGTTTGACGGTATGATTCATAAGGTAGCTTCTGGCGTCCTAAAGGGGTCTATAGGATGGTCGAAAACGGCATTCATGCAGGGCTTATAAATTGAGTTTAGAGGGTTTTAGAACGCGGGGGGAGTATGAGGCGTTCTTTCTTCATTTTGTCTTCATCATTCCTTTCTTTCCTCCTTTCATCCTTATTACTCTTCCTTTCATTGTTTCTTTCTTCCTATCCTCGATTCCTTTCTTTCTGCTTCCTTGATTCCTTCCATCCTGTCTTTGCCTCTTTTCCTTTCTATTCTCCTTTCTCTCTTCCGTGAAAACCAAACAAATAGAGGAAAACAAGCAGAAAACACTGAACAACACCTTGCGCAAGGTGAAACCAATAATCCCAGGCTGGGCGGCGGCACGTAATTCCAGAGTGGCGGCAACCAGCAAAGCTATCCACTTCTCATATTGTCGAGAGGCTGGAAAGTAGTCCGCATTAAGGCTGATGTCGTGGGGGGACGCAAGTTTTCCTGCACAAGGCCACATGGGATTTGGCTGTCTGACTGCTATCGCTCATGAAGACTCTAGATCGGACAAATCTTCCAAACACCATTTTGCTATCCTGCATCTTCCAATCGAGTAGTGCACATGTACCATCATGAAAGAAAGGCTTGCCCTATTCGTTAGGCTTGCAATGCTTCGGACACGACAGCCCTCAAGTTCCACAACTCGAACAAGTCAATTTAAAGTCTAACCTTTGCAGAGCCTAGTCAAAGCAGAGCAGGCCCATTGGTGAATCAGGCTGCCAAAGTTCCCCCATGCAGCATGCCCGCGGCCTGCATGTGGACCAAATGCTGGTAGCTGGCGCATTGCTTGGAAATATCTCTGCGCTGACTGCAAGACATCCCTGGCCGCGCGCATGTCCAGCCGAACGACAGCCAGGTATCTGCCAAGTTCGCTTGCTATCCTTGGCGGTGAGGGATCAAAAAAAATTGGTAAGGATCAAAACAACACAACGCAGAAAAACATATGTATGTTAAGAAAATTGAGGCTTTGTTGGCCTGAATGCGGCAAAGGGCACCAATCGGAGGATTTTAAAATTGAGTAAGGATTAAGGATTGAATAAGGATTAAAATATGTATATATACATATATGATGCAAGATGATGAAAACTGACGAAAAGTGATGAAAACTGATGGAAATCATCAAAAGGGATGGAAAATGATGAAAAAAACTGAAACCATGAAAATCCTGAAACAAGGCTGAAAATCATGGAAAATTATATTCAAAAAAAATGAAACATGATGAAACGATGAAAACTGCTGACAACAATGAAGGATGATGCAAAATGATGAAAAACCTTGAGACAGTATACAAATGTTTAAAAAATTGCTTAGGACAAGAATAAATGATTGAGAATGAGGAAAAACGTGAAAAATGATGGCAAACTTGAACGCAGCGTGGACGAAAGCTAGATCACAGAAAGCAAGCCGGGCTTTTCTGCGTGTTGGTGGATTTTAGCCCGAGTGTCCCTACAGCACCTAATAAGAAACTGGCTTCCATGCCTTCAGTCTCTGCTAATCAGAGGCAAAGCGCCCTAGCCCTCATAAACTCCGTGAGTCTCTGCTGTTACAATAGAATCCCTAAATATCCCTATACAATCCCTGCGTAATCCCGTTTCTTGTGTCTTACACGGCGGCTGCGGATGCACAACCACTTGGGCAGCACTCGATAAGCATACGAAAAAAAATCAGTCCGGCTTGCCTGCTGTGATCTAGCCGACCCATCCCACATGCAGATCCCCCCATCTATGGTTCTTGCAGATGCATGTCTATTCATGCCTTTCGGTCATGGTGTTGCAGGCTTGCGTTGAAAGATTGGCATGCCAATGTTCAAGCAGTCTCAGCGTAGCGTTCTGGAAGGCATGGGGACAGCATGGGAAAACCTACACGCTGGTTTCTTATATGTCTTCTGGCAAGCACGACGGAAAGTATTGCTACTACACTTGCTAGACCTACACGTTGATCTTTAGCACCGGAGCAAGACCTCGAGCAGGCTTTCGTGTTTCCGACAGCTTGCCCAGAAGAAACAGCTTGAAAGTCACTGACCCTCTCCCCTCAACTCGAAGTCTGCGACTCCACAGCTGCTTCCTCCGAGCAAGCACCCCACATGTGTAGTTTAACCTGAGTCTGAATGAAATGATATCAGGATGCCGTCGCCCGCCGAAATAAAGAAGAGCAAAAAGACGAGACGAAAACTGGGGAGATGATTCTCTGAAAAATCTTAGGGGGCCACCCTTTCGATTTGAGACTTGGGGACTTGATTCTCTGAAGAAATCTCAAGGGGGCACCCTTTGCGATTTGAGATTTGGGGAAATGATTCTCTGAAAACATGTTCGGGAGACACTGCTTGCCATTTGAGATATGGGGAGATGATTTTTTGAAAAAAATCTTAGGGGACACCCCTTGGGATGAATTTGTGGGAGATTCTAGAGGCTCAGAAAACGGCGATTTCTGTACTACAGTTAATTGAAAACGGAGCCAGTTTCCGGCTTTGCTGGGTTTCCTCCCGTTTGGGGATGAATTTCCTGGTGAACTCTAGAAGTGCTGAAAACGGCTCTGTACTAGAGCTAATTTTTGAGGCACGGACTTTCGGGACTGCCGGCACAATGAAACTACCAGCCACTGTGTACTGCTGACACAACACGGCTAGTCATTATGAGGATGCCTTAGGCACGGGAGTTAATTGAAAACAGAACCATTTTTCGGCTTTCTTTGGGTTCCTTCCATTTGATAATGGCGATGATGGCGGTGATGGTGGCGGTGGCGGTGGCGGTGGCGCTGGCGCTGGCGCTGGCGCTGGCGGTGCTGGTGGTGCTGGTGGTGCTGGTGGTGCTGGTGGTGCTGGTGGTGCTGCTGCGGCTGCTGCTGCTGGTGCTGGTGCTGCTGCTGCTGCTGCTGCTGCTGCTGTTGCTGGTGCTGGTGCTGGTGCTGGTGCTGGTGCTGCTGGGTGCTGCTGGGTGCTGCTGGTGCTGCTGGTGCTGCTGGTGCTGCTGGTGCTGCTGGTGCTGCTGGTGCTGCTGGTGCTGCTGGTGCTGCTGGTGGTGGTGGTGGTGGTGGTGGTGGTGGTGGTGGTGGTGGTGGTGGTGGTGGTGACAGCGCTCAATAACTTGATATTTGGGTTTTGGAATAGTAGTAATAGCGCAGGTT